CCCACCTACTTCCCCCTCACCAAGCCGTGCAGGGTGGGCAGTGGAACACAGAGGCTGAATGGCCAAGGGACTGGGGAGTACTGAGACCTGAATGAGGCCTCTGAGGCTCTGTCAGCCCAAGTTCTGTTCCAGCTTGCTGCGTTTCTTTACTTTCTGTGGCCCTGACCAGCCGATAGAGCATTTTCACACGTGCTTGGGTTGGACAGATGAGGCAGGGGAGGCCCAGAGAGGCTGGGTGACTTACATATATAGCAAAGCTGAGACTGACAGCCAGGTCTCCCAGCTCTTAGACTGGCTCACCCCTCTGGCGCCTCAGGGGAGATATGAATGTAAGGCACTTCCCTCCCTAAGCCTCAGACCTCTTATCTGTAAAATGACAGAGTCTGACTAGATTAGTAGTTCTGGATTCGATCTTTTCATCTCATCAGGGTGACCCTCCCCGCAGGAGATTAGCATCCTGGAGCCTCAGCAGGGCCGAGGAGGCTGGTGACTTGGTTAGAGGAAGCAGTGATCACACGTGAATCAGCTCCCTGTTCTAAGGAGACCCTCTGTAGAGTCCTGAGGTAACTTCACAGGAAGCATCGAGGATGTCACCAGGCCCAAGCAGGGCTCATCTGAAGCCTGGACTTGCCCAGACAGCTGCACACATGTGCAGAGAGGTGATTAGTTGAGCAACATCTTCCGTGGATAGTTTCTGGTTACAGAGCTCTCCTACCCTCCCATTTCAGGGAGACAGCTGGCCTGAATCCAGCTGGAGAATTTGCTAGCAAGGTGTTTAAAAAGAAACAGTATTTCTTGGTTCTTTGCAGTGTGTTGAGGATTCTTTGACTACTGGGCCATTTGCCAGTAATTCATGGACTCCTTTCAGGAAACCTTAGTGCCTATGTGTTTTGGAAAGAGCTGGGGTAGCCTCCGTGGAGGCCAGGTGGAAATGTCCCTACCCTCAGAGAGCTGCCAGGGGAGCAGGGAAGGGATGTGGGAAACAACACCTCATTATGGGATGGCCTGCAAGGTCTCCACGAGGGAGATTGATCTTCATGATCTCTGAATGCAATAAAGCAGAAAGTCTATTTTTTTTTAAAGTGCTGTGCCTGCCTCTACTCAAGCATCTGCTATTTTTGATGCAAATAGATTTTTGTTCCCTTTAATTCTGTCTGTTGTCTTTATTTGTGGGTTAAGTCTTGTTTCTGCCTCTGGTGGCAAAACAGTAGTGGCAGTGGCAAACTATCCTAGACTTAACTGAAAAATAATTGTCCAACAGCTTTTGGCTTTGGAGCTAATTGGTACTTATTAATTGCCAGAGGGCATGGGCATTTGTGTGGCATGGTCATGCTGTAATCCTTTTCCTTCATTTCTATCCTGTCAGCATTTTTGGGATGCATGCACATGTGCCCAGTGTGTTTTTCAAGCTGCTGGGGCCAAGACTTGAACCACAGGCAGCCATGAGGGATCTGGTTCCCTATGCACTGAGCTTCACTGCTATGCCACAGGGCCAACTCCTATGTGGGAGCCCAGAGAGATAGTCTAGCTCAGGAGTTAGGGAACCTGGGTGTTTGTCCCAGCTCTGCAACATAGCTGTGTGACCTTAGGCAAGTCACATGAGTAGAGATTGTGAGGTGGGAGTATCAGGTGAGCAGGAACTATCTTCTTAAAGATATAATTGGGGGAGGGAACCAGCAGTTAGCGTAATGGCTATGTCGCTGGACTCCCACGTAGTCGACCACTGTTCGCGTCCCGGACCCGGTGGCTTAGAACTCACGCTGGGCGCGTGTGCATGCGTGCCCAAGATCCCGAGAGGAGAATGAGGAGAAGGGATTGCAGCGTGACCATCCTCCCTGGGGGGTGATTTCTCGCTTTCTGTCTCTATGTCTCTCTCTGTCTGTCTGGTGAGTGCACGCGCCCTACAGTGAAAACCTCTCCAAAAAAAAAAAAATGATATAATCGGGGGAGAACTAGAGACTAGTTCAGTTTGCACTGAGGACTAGTGAATGGTAGGGGCAATGGAAGACAGAGCTGGGACCAGCTCAGAGGGTGCCGAGTTAAGAGGCTGACTCTATCATCAATCACTGGCCTCCTGGAGCCTGACATCTTTGGGTGTTTCGTCATCACTTGCCTGGCAGTTGCTTACTCTGGAGCCCAACTGCCCCATGCTGTGTGATTCCCCTTGCCTCCCATCTCCTGTCCTTTACCCTGCAGTCCCTTGTGTTCACAATCGTTCATCTGGCCCTTCCTGGCCTGTCCTGTTCCTGGGCCCTGCCCACGCTTGCTTCATGTACTCTGTGCTCAGTCACCAGACGTCAGCATGTTAAGGCACCTGCCTGTGTACTTCTACCCCTAGAATCTACCGTGTGTGGTTGTAAAGGGCATGTTGGCTTCTCAGAATATCTCTCTAGGTCCCAGCTGTGGTAGCTCACACTGGACACTTTTGCTCAACAGGCTAAGACCTCATGGGAGGCCTGGTTAGATTTCCAGCCCACCCTGAAAAGCCAGGTGCAGGGACCAGCAGTTAGCGTAATGGCTATGTCACTGGACTCCCATGTAGTCGACCGTGGTTCGTATCCCGGACCCGGTGGCTTGAAACTCACATCGGGCGCGTGTGCGTGCGTGCCCCAGCTCCCGAGAAGAGAAT